TTGCTGCTCTTCTTTCTTCAAAAGTATTCTGGTTCTCTGATTTTCGATTTCTTTGTTTGAAGCTTTTTCTGATTTTCATGTTTTAGATCTGATATCTGTACTCAAAATATTTATAACATTACATATTTGGCGCATAACTCTGCTTTAGTGTCTCGTGAAATGTAAACTTTTGTTTTAAAAGATGCATCATTCAATTTTCTACAAAATCTTGTTGAAAGTATTTTTAAACACCGTGAGTCCAAATTCACAAAGATTAAATACTGTGACCTAGTGAAATAAACCTATTTTATACTAATTTTTCCTATCTTTTCTATTGCCACTCGAAGAATAAGCACATTGATAATAAAAATGTGGCAAGTGTGTAAACTTGAAAAAACTTAATCGATTACTGATATTCGACAGTTTTGAATGCAACTTTCTACTTTATAAAGTACCTATTTTTAAAAAGTTGGAGATATCGCTGGGAAATAAATGCAGTTTACTCAGTATCATTGTCTGATTTCTTAAAATTCCGTTTCAGATTCCTTTACAATAAATTCATTAAAATTTTGTAAAAAATTGAATGATGTATTTTTTGAAACAAAAATTGATATTCCACAAGACACGAAAATCGAAATATGCATGAAATAAATAATGTTGCAAATATTTTTAGAACATCCGATACATGAACATTTATTTTTAAGATCGATGAATGTTTTAATGAACTTTACTTATTATATAATTTGTATAACATAAAAATGAAAGTGAGGATACTAAAATCTATCATAAATTATATTATTTAATTTTTTTCTTTGATATTTTAGTTAATTGTGATGTTATTGTTAAATATTTTATTCGTTCTTATTATCTGCTGTTCTTGTACTGGGGAACAAAATCAATTTGTCTATGATCTTATATTGCCCGACGATGTATTTATAACAGATTCAATAGCGAACAATTATTTGAGTATGAAGTTTGTAAAGTAATTAAGAAAATTAAAATATTTTATCGATTGTTTCTTTTCATTCAGAAGTACAATCATTTCAGTCAAATGATAATGATGATGTTTACCCTCGTTTACATTCAGCAATACTTTATAAGACTAATATGATGGAAAAATATCCACAATCAAATGGACTTCAACGATTAAAAAGGATATATTGGGAAAATCTATCATTTCATGCGCCTGTTTACAATAAAAAAATTAAAAAAATATTTTTTTCTACTGCATAGATCTTAAAATAAGTAATTAAAATGATGTTTTATAGTGATGTTTTCACTTATCTTGTCAAAAAATAAATATAACATCTTCTATGTGTGTGTAATTGGAAGAAAAATAAATGATGGCACCAGGTACTCAGTGTTAATATTTTGAGAATATTAATTGGCTAGGTTTTTCTAACGTTAATTGTCATCGAAACCGTTAATTGTAGTCGAAAACGTCTCCAATCCAGCATATTTTTGCTACATTTTACTAATTATGTATGGTTATTTGATTACTGTATATCATCTAATAACTATAATCTTGCTTTAAATTTATCAACAGTCAACAAACTCTTGACAAAAGGTCAAAAGACAAACTGTTCTTTGTTTAAAATTGACAATTAATCACAATTTTCACTATAATCGTTAATAAATTGAGATATACCGGGTGTCCCAAAAGTCCAACGAGAAAAAAAATCTTAATAACTCCGCCATTTCTTAACCGAACTTCAAGGTTGTCTTTTTGTTTGACAGAGAAATGTTCCAAGTTTTATTTCATACGATTGAAAATTTTTGTGTAAGAAAGGATCAGTACGGAAAAATAATAAAACTTACAACATATGTTTTCTGTTTAAGTACCTGTAATAGTGCGTAAAGATTGTTGAGTTTGTCATAATTAAATGGAATCTTTGTCAGAGTCGCATTACGTCTCATTTTGTAGAACTCAGGTTGCTCTACAATCCCACATATTCAAATGTTTTGTCCAGCTTAAAGTTTTGCCACAAGACGTTAATTTCTCCATATTAGCATGATGTAGGAATTGTGACTTCTGCAATAGTCTGATACAACCTTTTACAAGCTTTCAAACTATTCCAGTTTATAAGGCTACTTTCTTCCTATAAAATTCCACTAGTAGTTTTTCCTTTTATTAGTTAACTTTATCTGAAAAATGTTTTTATTACTTTTTTACACTTTTCCAGATGCTAGTATAGAATAACAATGGCTAAAGAAGTCCACACCAACCGGTCATTTTTAAACAAAAGCAAATTCTTATTTCATTATGTGAAAGCCGTCATCATCTACTTTATTTTAATATTAAAAATTACTTATGTTCTTTTCAAAAAGTTTTGCAGCACACAATTTATTAAAAACGAGTCCCAAAATATCTGAATTTCACTATAATAAACCCAAACATCTTTTCAAATATTAACAAGAGTTTCCAATCGTACGAAATAAAACTTGGAACGTTTCTCTATCAAACAAAAACACAACTTTGAAGTTTGGCTAACAAATGGCGGAGTTATTAAAAAAATTTTTCTCGCCGGACTTTTGGGACACCCGGTATTAGCTACTTTTTACCAACTGATGATACCCAAAAATTCGACTACTGGTCAACCGGCATAATTAAGCTTGAAGGATTTGTTTTTATAAGACAGACGTTGTGGATATATCATCTGATGCCGCTTTTGAAGCTGATCATAAAAATTAACTTTAAAATTGGAAAAAGTTGAATTTTAATGCTCGAAAGTTAAATGTAAAATTCTCGTTTTTCTATTTTGAATTCCTTGGCCCACTAATTTTTCTAGAAGATTAGTCGAATGGGTATAGTTAGAAAAACATCTATACGTTATGCACTTCTTTGACTATGCAGGATTCTCTCGCGGACTGCCTGTTACAAGTCTACTAAAGACTTAGTTTTACCGAAAATATTGACTACTGGCAGTTATTGAAAGAAACGAAAAAATCGATTCAAAGCCGTTCCAAATGAATGGGACACGTTCCTATTTTGTGAAAATTCAAAATGAACAAGTATAAAGTGAAATTTCCTGGAATTCACTTTGGGGGTAGGATAATGATATACATGTATACTACGCCACACCCAACAATCTTAGATTAGATTAGTTACGGTCAGGAAAGTTCAAATGAATTTCCTAACCTTACCTCACTATACCTAACCTAAGATGGTCTACTACATATATGTGAGAGAGTCCTACTATCAACATAGAGGAGGTAAAGGAGGAGGGAGAAGCGGCAGTGTGAGAGTGCAGTGCTACTATTATGAGGTATAGTGTATGTATGACTGATATATCCTGACTTCACTTATCTAACTAATCTAAGAGTGTTCGGTAACGTGTGGAAATTCATTTAAATTTCCCGACATTGCCTCACCTTATCTAACCTAAGATGGTCTACTATATGACCGTATATTCTTACCTTAGTCTATCATGTCTTATCTTAGCTTACTGGTTTTAAAATATAAAATGAAGTTAGAGTAATGACGTAAAAGAGCCGGGTTTCTGAATTTTTTCTTTGTTTTTTTTGAAGGATTTCATCTCAAAAGTTCGAAAAAAGCGCAAAAACTGATATATAGTTTTCAACATTGTAAAAGAATGACGACCTAAATGAAAAATCGGACGCTTTTACGCTGTTTCCGTATGTCTCAGCTTCAGTTTAAGGTCAACCCGAGTTCTCTAGCGCTTAATTTAACGGAGAAATTTTCCTGAGAGTGTTTATCACCTAGGAAAAAGTCGTTTTTGAGATTTAGGGGCGCTAGTCTATGGCATACGTTTTAGGGCTCTTAATATACCTGTCATAACTTTTGATCAAAGTATCGCTCGGTACTGGAATACATCTTATTTTAACCACAAATGTTTACTCTATGAACTGGCGTCACTATAATCCATTTGATTCCGACATTTCATTGAAATATCAGAACTTCAGAAAAATCAGGTTTCTAGGGCGTTTAGAAGATTTGTTCAAAATCCCCCAGAAGCTTCTGATATTGGCACAAATAGTATGGATTCTAAAAGTAGGCACCTTGGGCTCTTCAATCATGTGCTTAGCTCAATATGGACAAAGTAACTTTAAGGAGACTGATGATCACTTGCAGGTTTCTATTATATACCATTTCGAGGTCAACCAAGTACAAGGCTATTTCCAGGAGTGCATTTATCCAGTATTACACCACTTTCCGTTATTTAGATTGCAAGATCTCATTGAACTTATCAGAACTTGTTACCGATTACTAGGCGTTTGTCAGTAGCTACGAAGCATACTAAGTTTTATTAAATCTTTTGTTTATACCTCTCCTGTTTGAGATTCAGCAGCATCGATTTAAATATTTGTTCGACAGTTTTGGCTGTTTTGGTATTAAAAAATTGAAGACAGATGACAAGTTGTTTAATAATGCTAACATCAGTCGTCTCATTTAATAAAACACATCCATAACTCGTATTTTCTAATTCATCTAACTGCTTTTTCCAAATCCATGATTTTATACTTAATAACCATTCCGATGGACTTTCACCACCCTAATATAATTGTTTGTTGATAGCTACTGACAACAAGGTGGTAATTGGTTTTGACAAATTCGATGCTTGAAGTTTAACGACATCTTCAAAACTAAAGAATGCAAATCCTTGGTTTAATACGAACAAAAATGTTTATGCTAGTCCACGTAAATAATCTTTGTTGTATCTCTCATATTAACTGTATTAAGGATTGCAGCAATGGTATTACTATCAGTTCTTGTTAATTATGAATAAAATATTGCTCTGATCATTATCTCATTTGTTCACAAAAACAATTCAAAAAGTTTATAGAATACAGAATAGTATATGTAATCGCGATATGACGAAATTAATATTACGAAAAGTCGACGAGAAATTAAATGAGAGAGCAACATCAACGCAAGATACACCTGATACAATTTCAATGTTGCTGTGCATTCAACACAATTTTGTCTACTATTGTTCCATCATCATCATATAAAAATTCAATAATTGTACAAAAAACTTCTGTTCAAATCCGCCTGTTATAATAGTGTTTATTGTTTTTTTCGTGCTGTGCTAAATGAATGATATGTGTCACTTGTCGTTCTTAACAACTGTTGTACTATTATATCTAGGCATGCGCCAATCTGATAGTTCGGTGACAGAACGGTTCGCAACCGAACGTGTTCGGACAAAGATTGGAAATACGATAGGTTATATTTTTCTCATCGGAGATATCGGCGAGCGCTCTGCTGAGGAACTATTAGGACAAAGTACCATAAGCCTTATAAAAATACATTTGAATGAGGGCTGCAATTTTTTGTCTACTTTATTTGCACAGTGAGGAAAAGTATTTTGCGTGAAAATAAAGTAAATCAATCACAGAGGTCACATTATTAAAGTATGCTTTAGTTAGACAGTAAATAAGAAACTAAAGGTACTTTAAACTTCCTTGAACAAACCAAACATAAAGTTGCTGCTCTAATTCAAATTTTTCTTTACGTGACCACCTACGGCTACGGCAAAATAATGGCTGCTCCTTCGTTTGATGTGATCTGCACATTTTTTCCGGTTTACGGAGATTTCTTTCATGTGTTTTTTCTCTCTCATGTTCTTAGCTTTGACAAAGTATATTTTTTAAACCTTTTGGTAGCAAACTGCTCGCTGGCCGAACATGTTCGGTAGCTATTTTCGTCCCGTTTGACTTTAGTCCAGACATGGTCGGCAACAATCCCAAGCAAGGGCTCGCTGATCGGCAGTGAACGATCCGTTATCGAACCGTTCGTTATCGAACCGTTCGTTATCGAACCGTTCGTTATC